TCACAAGGAGACACTTGGAGTGCTTTTGAAGATCCCCGGGCAAAGGACTTTGCCGATGCCGGCCTTGTGCTGTAGCACCTTCACCAGGCAGGCGCCTTTGCGCCGCGCTTCAGGGCAGCGGCCCACCTGGCAGTAGAAAATGGCCGTTCGAACGAATTGGGTGACCAAAAATGGGTGGGCATCCTCCTTTCGCGCTTTCGCAGGCAACTTGGGTGGGCCCATGTCCCCAACTAGCAAGTAACTGTCAATTCAATCAGGGTAGTGGCTACCAACACGGAGCTCGACTGCCATCCCTTCAAAGGACTTCATGGGCTGCCATTTTTCCAGATGAACTGGCTGAAACTTATCATGATGAAGAATGCCACATTCACAGGGAATGGCGACACAAAGTTCTTGCGCAATACACAATGATATTTAGCTCAAATTATGGGATCAAATCATCAGGATCCATGGAACAACTGGGCGGCCCCCGCATGTCCTCCCCCCAAACCAACAGTAGACGATCAATCACATTTGTCTGCTGCTCACATCTTCTTGCCCCCAACTCTGGGGTACACGAAAACCAAAAAACACTGCCTATGCTCCATGTTTTGCCAGTCTTAAAATTCCAACACATTTTCTGAGGAGACCCCGGTGTTGATCTAAACACAAGCAGCTAAGCAGCGAGCGGGAAAGACCTCCAGACCCCCACGCGTTGGCAAGCTTTGGCACCTCCAGGACAGCTGCTCGCACCACCTGAGTGAGCCCGGCACGAGCTCTCGAGCTCTCGAGTCGACCTGTCTGGGCTGTCCAGCATGTGGATTGGTAGGGAATGCGGCTAGTCCTCATCCATCTGTAGCGCGACCCCCCCCACAGGCGACAACGCCTGACCTTCTCGGATGAATGTTCATTGCCCGGCTACCATCCCAAAGGCAGGCGTCCCCAAGGCCAAACTCCTGGCCCCAGCCTCTGGCAAGGTGCCCTCCATGAAGACAGGAAGCTCCTTGGCCTGGGGGAAGAGACCGTGACAGGAAGTGACAGGAGAACACACTGCGCTCTGCGGGGTCAAAGGCGCATCCTTTGAATTGACTCACCGTGCAAACAGCAAATAAGAAATGACGTACCCCCTCCCCGAAAGGCACCTTCATCAGGGGTGAACTCGCTTTTTCCCCCAAGCGAGCTCGTAATATTGGGCATGAATGCCACCCAAAAATACAAGTCATGGCCAAACCCTTGAAGCAGTCTTCCCCTGAAAATAAAATCAAACAAAAAATCCCGATGGAAAAATATATAAACTAGCCGGTGAATGCGATGTTCAACATGACCAACATGTATACTTTTAGCACCCCGCAACCACCTTAAGCACGTTTTGTCGCCAAACAGGGCGAGGCCCAAGCATTTTGGTGTGCGGCCCGACTTGGCTTTCCTTGCAACCAAGCCTGAGAAGGGTGCCAACTTGAAGGGGTACACCCAAATGCAGCAAGTGATTTGTGATTTCGTGATGGAGAAATGCCCATGACTGCGTTAAAGGCAACATGTTTCATGCTGTCTTTGCGGCACTTTGGCATTTGTTTCCCTGAGGCAATCTTTCAATTCTGTGTGGGCTTCCTCGTATCAGTTGCTTCCTTAAACAAACGGAACATGAGTACCAGCTCTGAAAAGGTACGTCCAAAAGGGGATTTGCTGAGTTTGTTGCCAAAAGCTTTAGATCCGGGGTGTGAGTGGATATGGCAGGGGTGGGTCATGAAATGCAAGGATCTGGGTCAGGGGTGCGCAAACCGGAAGAGGGGGGCGGCGGCCAAATCGGAACGGAGGGGTGAACCAGCGGCGCATGCGGTACCTTCCAAGCGTGATGCTGAGCTGAAGACAAGTTGTCTTTCGGACCAGCGGTCCTGCAACATGATAGCAATTTCCTGGCATGCTCATGTTGGGCTCAGCTGGGCCAGTTGGCGGGCCAGTTGGCTGACCAGCTGGAATTGGGCCCAACGAATGCCCTCCCTCCCCCGCCTCCCCCAGCGCCGCCAAGCATTTCACCGCTGCGCAGCCTGCCTCGACGTCTGGGTCCTCCAGAAATTCTGCGGATGACTCAGACTTCGGCTCAGACCCCCTGCAAAAAGCTGTTTGGTTGCCGGCAATGGTGAAACATGAAAGAGATGTTTTCAGGGCAAGCGGACAAACAGCTTGGTTGAGTCTGGCAATGGAGCGTGGTGCAACATGCTGCCAACGCAATTTGGGATGTCTCAAAATAGGGAAACCTTCAGCAAAAGGAGCAATTTCCCTTTTTGTGTCCCTTTCAAACAGCTCACAAACCAGGTAGCATCGCAAAAGACAAGCTCATGTAGAATATGCAGTTGCAAAGCTGGAACCCAATGATCTCTGGCTTGTGGCATCGGGACATCTTGGGCAACCGCTGGTTGCAGCCTCTGCCCTTGGGATTCCGTGGAACTGCCGAAGGCCACCTGCGACGCGTCTCTTCGCCTTCGCCAGCGCGAGGATCTGCGGTAGGTGGCCTCGCGCCGCCTGACGAAAGGCCAAAAGCGTCGATCCACTTTCCCGCGCCAACTCCCCCAACACGTCTTGGACATGACCAAAACTGGAGGGGCGTGTTTGACTTTTGCGGGGGGGGGGGGGTGTTTGGGAGCAGGGGTTGGAGCAGTTTTTTTTTGTCACCCATATAAAGGGCAGGGGGTATGGAATTCGGAAACAGGATTGGGGACATGACAACACCGTGGCGGCCCTTTAGGAGATTGATGTGGGTCCTTCGTTCCAGTGCACACTGCAAGAGAACACCCCACATGGATGTGGAAACAGTGAGAAGGACGCGAACCAGAAGCAGCACGCCCTTTGGAAGCCAGCCCTTCCCACCCTCCAACCAATCCAACAGCTTTTGCCTCCCCATCAAACTGGAGGTCTACGGAAACTAGAAGGAGTGGCTTGAGCCATGGATAAGCTCCCATTTCCTTTTGGCTACCCTACGTGCTAAACAGGGCGGTCTGAACGAAACAAGCAACATTGCCCATTTGCTGGTTTGCTGTTGGGGACAGCAACCATCATGGCTGGATGGGCTACTTGGCGCCCAGCTCAAGTTGACCTGCTCAGGTGACAGGTCGGTTGGGTCTGTACCAAATGACGAAGACGCCAATACGAAAAGTTCAAATCTTGGAATCTGAGACCAGCTTCTGGGCGTCTGCCCATGCGGAGCTCAGCAGCTCCTGCACTCGAGCGAGCTCGAAACAACCAAACAGGGTGTTCCTCTATCAAACTGAAACCCAGTTACCGAATTCCCCCGCTTTCGCGGTATTTGCCGAGCAAATGCCCCCCTATCATTCAGGACAACAATTGATTTATTTCAGGGTTGCTTCCAAGACCTTGTCACAAGGGTAGCAAGTGTCGAGCGTGGTTTCAAGGCCTGGAGCAACCATGAAAACCCCATGCCGACAGTCCCAAAAAGAACAGATCAACCCATAGAGGAACCTGCTCCAGGAGCCTCGAGGAACCTGCCGCAGCGTGCCTTCAGTGCCCCACAGAAATCTTGCGATTGGGGAAAGCCACCACTCACAGGTCACAGGTTTGCAACTGACCAATTGAATTGTAAAGCCAAAACTGGCTCATCCCGGTAAAAGAAGCAGCCAGCTGAGCCTTCCGAAAGCAGTGCCCTGCAACGACTGGTTTTAAGTTTAAGGAAGCAGCACCACCCCTCCGGAAACTCATGCAAGCGAAGTCGGGGCGCTGCGATGCATAAACGAATCCTTTAAACACTTTGTTTGTGTGATCTTTGCAGTGGTTTTTGCCGCCAATTTCGGCTACCCCGGGCCCCCCTTCCCAGTCGCCATGAGTCGCCCCGGTCGCCGTGTGCGTCGCTCCTGGTAGGCCGGGATGTCCACTTGCTGGTACCGAAGCTCCTCCGATGAGCCCGTGAGCCGCTGGAAGTCCGAGCTGCGGAGCCTCAGGAGACCGGTATGCAACGCATTCTACCCATGCTCCATACCCGGCTTTGAATGTACCGTGTTATTTGAGCAACCATGCAAAGAAAATAAAACCGTAAAACCGAGATGTATGCTCCTAAAGCATTCTCGACATCATGCTTGGCACAAACAGCAACAGAACAAGCCAAAAGCAACCAGTTTCGAGTTTCGCCCCCATGTTTCCACGTAGCTGGTCAAAAATAGGGTAATCCAAAATGGCTTGCCCTGGTAAATGTTGACCCATGGGCTAAAACCTGCCGGTTTTCCGGCTTCATTTTGACCCACCCACGTCCTCCCCGTTTTCGGGGGGCCGATGGATTCAGCCCCGAGGGGCCGGAAGAAGTCCTCGGGCCGGCGCCGGTAGAACTCCTCGGTGACCGCCTGGATCATTTGCTCCACCAGGCCCTCAGGCAACATCATGTCCACCTGGGCGCCAGGGCTACGCAGCGCATGGAAAGGCGCAAAAGCCGACATACAAACCCTGGGCCACCTGGGGGTGGTTCTGGTTTTGGCCAAAAAATATCTTTGGTAGGGGGGTGGGGCAGGTGGAAGGGCTCAAAAGAACACATATCCACATGGGTGTGCTTCCTGCTTTGGATAAAGCCATTCCAACAAATATCTTTGGTAGAGGTGGTGCTTTCTTGGGGTGTGAGGTGGGTTGGGAGGAGCCAACCCTTACCAAAAGTACAAATGTCTATAATTGCAAAACCTGAAATAAAAAGTTCTCCAGTTGGCAATCTTCATCCTTGAGCTCAAAGCCCCCATATTGCTCGTTTTAGTTCGTGCAGCTTGATTGAGGAAAGGTACTCTTTTTGGGAGTGGCAAAGGGAAGCCGAAAGCAAACCAACCATCGTTTCTCTTTGGAGTGCTTTCCTGCTTGCCTGCCTGTGTGCCTGCTTTTCGCTTTTGTTTGCTTGGTTGCTGGCTAAATAGCTGACTGGCTTTCAGGTTTACTTACTTGCAACACTTCAATGTTGAACATTGTGCCAAGAAAAAACCAGAAGTCGATGTCCACTACCCCAAACCACTATCTCCAACCAAAATAGAGTATATACTTACATGTTCCCAGCAGGGAAAATGTGACCCTTTTCGTATCTTCTTGTTGGGAATGGATTTCAACTGGGAGGTGTCCCCTCACAACAAAGACGAAAAATAGGGGAGCGTTGCACTGGAGGTCTGCGTCTCAATTCTGCCCAGCGGCGCCCTCTGGCATAGAGTCGCCCACCAGCACCGAACATTGGGACGCCAGCCGGGTGATGCGGCACCGCATCACCCGGCGCATGAAGAAGCAGCTGGGCAACTTCTCTCTGAAGAAAGGCCAATTAACCTGACGAATTGTCGCAACTGGGTGTCTCGCGTGGAGTGTGCTAATTTAGGGAATATAGGGAACCTTCTTCTTGACCGCTTTGAATACGCCAAGAAGAAACTAGTCCGATTGAAGAAGCCAAATTTGGATTTTTGATTCCGCCTATCCGTTAGTGGCTTCAAATCAGCCTGAAAAGGATGCCCTGCCCCTGACTGAGTATCGGTTTAGTAATAGTTTAGCATTCGCTTAGTATTGGTTTAGCATTGGGAATTGTCTGCCGTGAAATTCCTTTCCTCAATCGAGCACCCTTTTTCGGTTCCTTCTAGTGAGAATAACGGCCTTGGCTGCATTCCCCCCTCGCACAATTGTTGGCCGGGCCCTTTCAAGAAGGCTTAGACAAATAATTTGAAGTTTGGGGCACGGACTTCTTTTCCCGGGTTTTTTAATTTTGAAAAAACGTAGCAAACACAAAAAAAAAGAGAGGATGAACAAGGCGGGCTTGAAGAAAGGGACCACATGGGATGGATTTGTGAGGGTCATTCCAACTCATTCCCTACCTATCGCACCAGAAAGTCTTCCGATTTTGGGATTTTGATTCGGATTTGTCTGTGGGTTAACAAAAAGGTACCCCATATGCAACCCTGGTAAATGGAAAAATGGACCGAAACCTACGGTCCCCTGGTGCTTCAATTTCAACCCCATACCCATTTGGCCGTGGGTCAAAATCCCGTACCGCCAGCGAACATCCCAATCCCCACTAAAATAGGTTCTAAAAGTGGTGAATTCACCTACCCCAAAATGAGATCCCAAAACGGTTTTGACTACCACAGCCATTTCTTTTTGCAAAATCACGGGCCTCCCAGTCCTTGGAGCCCAAGTACAGCACCGGCGGCGTCTGCCGTGGCGCCGGACTCAGCAGCAGCGCGCTGCGCGCTAAGGCCACCTGACCGTAGAACTGCTCCAGGCCCTCGGGTCTCGGGTCTCCGACTCGGCTTCCGACGTGGCTTCCGACGTCCGACTCGGAAAGCCGGCCGGGGGGCGCGAGAGACAAAAAGCGGGGGGCGTTTTGGACGCGGGAAGAAAAGCTGCAGGATTTGGGGACCCTGTCGTCTGTTTTCTTTGTTTTTTTCCCTCCGTTGAATCATCTTCTGAGCAAAAGAGAAGCAAAGGGCAGCTAAAGAACCAACAGATTCTCCCGACCCCCCCTTCCCCCATCATGAGAACTGGATGAGCTACTTCTTGTCCTAATATTCTTTTCACCTGGAACTTGGAAAGGCCTGGCGGTAGAGCTCCATGTCCTTGGCGTTGAAGGCTGCGATGAGCGCCCGGTGCCCTTCTGGCAGCTCTGCACGCAGGAAAGCGGACTCCTGCCGGTTGTAGCCTTGGTCGCGGCAAAGGAGCGCGCATGCGCATGCGCTTGCGCGTCCGTCCCCCTATGGTTAATAGGGACGGGCGATGCAGGGAGGGTCGTCTTGGAATATTTGAACAGTATGGGCTACGTAGAAAACAGGCAGATTTAGATGGGCCTCTCAACCCCCCGAAGGTAGCTTAGAACCACCCGCTCAGAGCAAATTAGGAGTCGTTGGCGATTGGTGCCGAGATATTGATCCGGCATTGGAAACCGGGCAGTAACGTGTATGATGGAACGACAAATCAACCACCAGGAAGTTTTGATTGAGGAGCCACACGGAACCTAAGAGAAAAGCCACGTGGACCATTTGTGTCTTCAAACCCGAGAGACTTTCTCTGGTAGTTGAATTTTGACACCCACCAGGCCCCTTGGCTGTCAACAACAGGCCTCCCCATAGCCCCTATGCTTCATGTCTCTCATCAAAGCCAAAACAACTAACTGACTGAAGATGCCACATGGACCGAATAAGCCGCAACCTTGCACATAGCGTAGCGCATCGTAGCGCAGAAGCCAGGGCGCTGTTCTGGCCCAGCTCACTCCCGGCGAAGCTTGTCTGCTGGAGCCAGGGGTGGAAGACGCGCAGCACACGCAGGTGGTTCTCAAAGTCCTGGGTCATTTTGACCAGGGCCAAACCCTTGTTTAAACATGTTGAGGCCATTGCTTACACAACCTCCTGTTGGAAAGCGTTGAACAACCGGGCTGGTTGTTTGAACATTATTTGTCCAACCGGGATTTTGACCAAGGATCTGATCTGTAAATCGTGCTGGTCAATTGTGTCTCATTGAAGAGGGAATTCCATTTGAGAGGGTTCTCAAAGTAACTCTCAAAGCATTCCCGAGTTAGCTTGTCTCAAAAAGGGCTGGATCCCACAAAATAGGGGTCCTTTCAGTGTCCCAAGAGTGTTGCTGCCGACCCAGGTTTCATAAACCCCTGGTTCACCAACATAGGGGTGTTCCATTTAAGACCGTCCAAGTCCTAAAGATCCACAGGTGAGGGTCTGCTTCCAAGATTACGAGTACGTGGGCCCACTTTCCACAAGACCCCTCGTGTGTGGATTTTCATGGACAAAAGGGCATACCTCTTTGCCGGCACTTTCTCTCAGACACCTGACCAACAGAAAACTCCTGCGGGAGGTTTCCATCAGGGAATTTCAGGCTTTTGAGGGGGAATGTAACCGGTTTCTATGGGGACTTGATTGATCGGTTTGTAGGGGGATTTGACTACCGGTTTTACAGGGGGTTTGGCTCAGAATTCTTGCTCCAAACGCTCCAGTCCTTCCGGCCTCGTTCTGCAAACTCACCACGCACCGTGCCAGGCGATGCTTGGCGCGGTCCAGCGAGCCGAGAGGATCCAGCATCCGCAGCAGCCGGTTCTGAGGCCCCAGGAAGCTCCGGAAACCCAACGTCTCCGGGCCTCCTTGCCAAACGGGTCGGCTAGAGTGGGCATCTGCCCCCCCCCCCCCCAAAAAAAAAAAAAAATGGGATGCTTCAATGCTGGGTGGTTTTTTCTGTTCGATCTGATACGCAGTTACAAATACACAATCAGAAGCGAGTCAAACGCAACCTGACAGAGGTTGTTTACACCCCGCCCCCCCCTTTTTGCTCTGAAAATCAAGGTCAGGATTGGGGATATTGGCGGCGAGAGAACCGTTTGCTTCTTGGAATGATTTGAGTGGACCGCGTTTGATTATTGCATGGTCATTCAAACATGAAGAAGGCGGTCAAAGCTAGACTTGAGAGATCGACTCAACTGACTCCAAGCCCACTGCAAACCACCGAACGCATCCCGTCCTTCCTCCGTCACTTCCACTTGGCGCAGGCAAAGGCCCCCATTCTCCGCGTTGCAGTGGCTCCCGCTCTCGCTGCCGCTGAACCGCAGATTCTGCGCCTAGGATTTATGTTTCTTTCTTTTCGCGCAGGCAATCCGGGGAATACCGGGAATACGCGTGTAACAACCAGGTGTATCAACCTCCCAGCGTATTGGTGGGATGTGTCGCAAATCCTTCTGGATCAAAAGCTGCAGTGGCGCCCACTTTTCAAATGACATAGCGCTGTCAAGCCCCAGGCCGGGGGCTCTCCAGCTGAGGCTCCAGAAGCAAGCCCCTACCCCAGACAGCTTGGCCTGCACTGTAGGCCAAGCGCAGCTCACCACGCATTCATGTGCCCAGACCTTGTTGCATCTAGCCCCAGCGGCTGTGTTTGAGCTGATACTTTCAATGGCCAGGCATGAGCGGCGTTCCCCACACCTGGCCCTGGAGTAAGAAACATAATTTTTCGGAAGCCTCTAAATCAAGAAGCCCCTAGCCGAGGCAGGCAGCGCGAAGCGTCTACGATTCGCCCAACAGCCCTATAGAACTTCTTTGGAAATTCCTGGAAACTGCAAACCTTACAGAAACCTGCCCCAAAACCCAGGATTGGCTAAAACACCGTAATGCGAAACCAACAAATTCCTTCCTGGTTGAATTGTCGTTTTGGCTCTACTTCGACATGCCCTGAAGGTTGAATCGATACCTGTGGCTTCCTGGCAGGTACATTTTTCTGCTGTTTGGTTAAAAACAATGTTTTCCATCGAGACGGCACTTTTTGTGCGAAACGACACTTTTGCAAGTTGAGCAATACAGGCGGTTGCTTACTGAATCGAAACGGCAATTTTACCCGTCCAATCGGCAACTTTTCCCGTCCAAACGGCAACTTTTCCCAACCGTTGCACGAGCATTTTGTGAAACGGCAGCTTTTCAGGCAAACGGCGCTTTTTTCGTGCAACGGCAGAAACAAATGCCTTTTCGCCAAACGCCAAAAAAATGTACCCTCCGGAGGTCGCAGGTATGAGTCGGAGAAACTGACAATAGCGCGGCGCCGACATAGGGGACACAAAACCCTCTACTAACAAACCACTTTCGCGGAGCCTTTCGCGGCCACGCGGTTCACTTTCGCGGGCATGTGTTTTGTAATGATCACTTTCGCGACGCTTTCGCGGCCGGCTCTTCTTCACCCACTTTCGCCGCAAACTTTCGCGGGCTATCGCGCCCAGCGTTTTAGCTTTCGCGAGGCTTTGTTAGGAGAGGCCCTCAATTAACTCCTCTCATAAGGGTTATTGGCGCTGCCCACTATGGGCTATTCAGAACTCATTTCTGCAACTTCGGATTGATCTGTATGCTCCCCCGAAACTCTACGAAGGAAATCCAGCAAAAAACCAAAGGCCAGAACCTCACTCAACCCATTGAAAGCCCCCTTTCCCTTTTCCCGCCCCGCCCACAAAAAGTGCCAATTGGAAAAGCAGAAAGCAAAAAGCGCCGGCCTCGATGGAGGCCAAATACTCCGCCAGCTCTTCCTCCGACAGCTTCGCCAGCGCACGCAATGGCAAGTCTCCACCTGAACACGGGCTCGAGCATACGGCACGCGAGGAGCTCAGCTCTTGTAAAGCTTCTGCATGGGTGTGGCTCAAAATTAAAGAACTCTGGCTAGGCAGGTTTCAGTCTTCGGCTCCATTTACCAAATGGGGTACATGTTTGTGAACCACAGCCACATATTCCGCTAGAAAGGTGGAACCATGCCAACAACACCAAACACAGTGAAGGAAACATCCAGCTTAGATGATTTGTGTGGTGGGTGCTAGATTTTCCGACAAAGGTGCATGGTCTTTAGTTTGGCACCTGTTAGCCGCCAATTTGAAGAAAGCTTCCTTTTGGTGGGCGGGGGGGGGGGGCGCTGAGGAGAGGCAAGCGGGCTGCTCCGCTCCGGCTGGAAGTTGGGCAGTTTGTTTTTTTCCCCCGAATAAAAACCTGGGGATCCCTGGTGTCCCGTCCCACACGGCTCTTGGCCTTCTAGTCGCCGGTCGGAGCGCTCCAGGTAGTAGGACAGGAACCGGTCCACCGGGTTCCGCAGCAGCACGAAGCAGCTGGGCCTGGATCAAGCCGCTTGCAACCATTGTCTAGCAACTGGGGGTGTCCAACCACGGTAATGAAATGTTGACCCAGGAGCATAAACCCGTCCCATTAGTACGGGGGTGTTCCCTCCAAAAGTGATGAATCCCCACTAAAAGGGGACACCCCCCTATCAATCTGCCAGGGATTTATTCATCCGCGATTAACATGAAGCTGCTAAGTGGGTTGAGCCCAGAAGGGTCGAGTTCGCAGGTGTCAAAGCCCCAGTCTGGCTTCCGGTGCTCCAAGGACCCAAGGACCCTGTCACAAAGGTAGGGAAACCGAAAACAAGCAAAGCATTACATACCTTTTCAAGGGTCCCGATTCATTTTGGGGCCTCAAATTGGGTTTCTTTTGAGGGGTCAACATTCTCCATTGCAGGGTCGGGCCAATGTCCTACCCTTGCAGTTTGGGCATCTCTCAAAAGCTCGAATAACCTCTGCTTCAAGAGTGAAGCCGCGTCAAACTGGGTGCGCCGCTGGGTTTGGCTCAGAACTTGGGTGGGCCCCCTCATGTCCTCCTCTAACAATACACCGATACACCAACAAACCACCATTCCTCTTTTGAGCGAAAAACTTGGTGCGAAAGCGTTGTACCCAAAACCATGTAAAGAATCAAAAGGGCGGTCGCACCTAATTCTGGTTGTAACTGTCCTTACTCACCTTCACTCACTGGGGGTTGATTGTGAATCATTATGTGCAAAAACCCACTCCATGGCATCTAAAGGCGGCTCCCAACAGGTCTCGCAAAACTGTCTAGATGCGTCAAACCCACAAAATGCAACTCCACATCGGCTGATAGCCGCTCCTTCCAATTTGGTTCAGTTGCACCTCCCCTTTTTACCAGTGTCTTAACATATTCGCTGGTCAAAGATCCTAGTTCATCAAGCAAGAACCCGCAAGTTTCATCGTCGTATACACAATCCAGAAGCTCTCAGTTGCGTTGCTTCCATCTGCCCAGCTTCCATCATGACAAACATCTACCAGTCATATTTGTTCCCCTTTGAAACGAGAAAAACAAACATCACGTGATAGTGAGCAACATTCTGACGTACCCAACGAATTTGGGGGCGGACTCAAACCCAAGCTGCGGTAATTCCGGCCTCATTCTTGTACCATGATCAAAGTCACGTGGGATAAAGGGAAACAACCGATTCCATTTTCTGACTTTGACAACCCCCAGAAACCATGAACATAATGACTCCAGTACTTCGCCATCGCATCGCCCTCTCGCCCTCTCGCCGGAGGGCCTCCGGCGTTCTCCACAGCCCAGGACCGAGAAGATTCCCCAGTCCACCGTGCCAGAGAAGATCTCGAGGGACTGCAGCCTGGAGCTTTGAGACGGGCCCTGCTTCTTGTCTTGTGCTTGGAGGGGCTGCTGCCGTTCAAAATGGAGGCTTGGCCGAGCCTAACCCACAATCCCTACAAAGGAGCCACTACAAAGGGGACCCGTTGCATAAGCCAAGGTAAGGATTAAAGTACCTTTGAACAAGTATATACAGCCCTGGTTGGCTTACTGCAGGGAAAATGTTTAACAAGGTGTGGGGCATTCCTCTCCCATGTGGCCTGTGGACCGCAAATGGCCCCAAAGGGAAGCCTGTTATCTGCCAAGAGAGTGGCCTCCGCCATTCACTGGATAAAGACCCCCATGTGGAGACAATCCTTGTTGTAGCCCACTGATAATTGAACTTAATAAACCAAACTGAAACCAGTGGAAATCATCTATGTCGAACCAAAATCATCTAACGATCACACCATTGTGTCTGAAGCTTTTGAAACTGCACCCGAATTTCCTCATTTGGGCTCATGGTGGGTCACGTAATCCCAAGGTGCATACGATACTTCTCCCTGTATAAGCCCAGGCCATTTGGTTTGGGCTACTGGTCGAAGATCCATGGCTCAATGTTGATCACTAGTCCAGTTATAGAAGCATACAGCAGCCTCACGAAAGGTTTGGGTGTGTGCCCGATTTGGGACCCCATGAACAAGTTCCTTTCACAATGATTCACAATGTCCCCCTTTTGGCTTGGTTGATCATTCACACAAATGTGAAGACCGCCCACCAATGTCCTTCCCACATCTACGATGTGTTGCCAATGGATCCTCCAAAGGGGCAAGGGTGCTACGATTTCCTAGTTGCAGGATTTCCTTCCGCTATACATTTACACTGACTGGCTTACCGACAACTGACAACAGGCGAAATGGACGTATTTGATCTCCGCCTTCACAAGGGTCCGCCCCAAGTTGCCGCCTTTGCGAATATAGTCAGCTTTCATCGGGGTGCCTCGCGCTTTCCTTTTCGCCGTGGGTTGGAATGGGAACTCAGGATGGCCATCAGTCACATCTGTAGGAAAGAGCCGTCATCTTTGGCGGGATACGGATGCAGCCGTGTCGGGCCGCGGTCAGTCTGCTATTTTCGCTAGACCCGGTCGAATCACAAAATTGATCCATTGGGACAACGGGCGTCAGTCGATGGCTTTATTAACGTGATCTTTGTGATCTTATGGGACCTGCATCACGAGCAGCTTTGCTACGAGCGAGGCCGCACAGGGGTAGAGGCACAGCCTGTGGCGGGCCATACGTTGGCGTAGGATTCAGATTGAAGCCGAAACACTTGCGACGGCCCTGAAAAGGGTGCCGCCCGGGCAGAGGCAGCAAATGGCTTAAGTTGTTTCTTGCTCTCACCCTTGTTCTTGCCGTTGCGGGGCGGGCCCACGACTGCCGCGGTTGCGATCCTTTGTCGCCTTTGGGACGGATGGCGCACAACCCCAAACTTGGGTGCGTCCCCGAGCTGGCCAGGCTGGCAACAGGCCCTCACAAAGAAAGGCTTCGGCTCCGACGCAGGGTCGGCCCACACCTCGTGACACAAGTGTGACGAGTAGGCCAAGTCGTTGGTCAAAAAAGCTTATCACGGACGGCCAGATCATTCTTGTCAAGGTCCTTCAGGTAGCGAAGGCACCGCCGAGCTGCGGTGACGTCAGGCGGAGCGAAGGGACACCCATCCCGCCAAGCGAAGGGGGTCACGCCCCCGGTGCCCAAGTTACCGGCTCCATACCAAATGTAGGCTGAGGCAGGAGCAGTGGACATGGCGCGACCCTAACGAGGCTAAAAGAAACATATCTTACCCACAACCTCAGCTTTTTGTATAACCAAGAAGAGTTGTCTTGATTCTGGTCCATATTTTCACTCCCCCTCCTCCCCAGCTTCTCCGCTTCCCCACTTCCCCGCTTCCCCTCCACTTACTATCCCTGTTCTCTGGCCGCCTGGAGGTGTTGTAGGTCTTCATGAGGAACGGGGTTCCCATGGCCTGCGGCGAACTTGTGGCTACGCCCGGCCCAAACCCAAACCCCGTGCCCCGAATTCGTTCGGTTCTTAGCGGCCTCCCCACCCAAACGGGCCCCCACCACTTCTACGAAGAGCTAGTCCAACATGCGAGAAGGTTTCTGCACCCAAGCAATGCTAGCATGTGGGGCATTGTTAAAAGTAGGGATGCCTCTTGGGACCCTGTTGTCATGTTGTGCCGCCTTTCGGGGGGGTCCAAAGGGGTCCACGATTGCATGTTGCATGTGTCCTAACTCAGAGGTCGGGCTTCTGATTGTCTCAGAGAAGCAGGGCCATCTCAAATTCAGGATTTGCGGAGCGGTCCCATAGCTGCCGCCGCAGAAAAAAACAAAAAAACACTCGGAAATTGGCCAGACTTTACAAGTTGGCCAAGACTTACAACCCCCGCAAAAAAGTGTGCTTCGGTTGCCGGTGAAAAGGAAAACCCTAAAAGGGTGTCCAATGTCAAAAAGGTAAGCCAAACATGGCAATGAAAGAATCTCAGAACAGGTGTTGGCTCTGTTCCACCTGCCGACAACAACAAAAACGCAGTTCAAGGTCTCAGGGTGAGTGAACCTTGCGCATGCCAGAGCCAAGCACCTTTTTCCGAACCCAAAGTCATACGCCATTGAACTCACCAGACTCATTTTTTGAGTCTCAACCTGATATTCCAGGGGTGTCAAGGCTAAGAGCATCCCTGGCCATGGTCTTGATTGTGGCTCAGACCTCAAAGGGGAGGGGTTGCGGAGTCCCGCAAATCCGTTTCCCGTGTCTTCCCAAAATTGAACTACTCCTGGAGATCTCCCCAGCCCAATTCCGTTGCTACGGGGTGGACGTATCAACATTACTGATTTCGCCCAAACAACATCGGACAATGAGGTGGGCCTCCTGATTCGTGGACAATTTGGGTGGGCCACTAATTTGTTGCTCATGTCCAAACTCTGCAGCAGTCAGGTTTCTGGTTCTCCCTCAATGTGGTTGCATTTTGAGGTTTGGGACCCTGTGTTTCCCTCTAACCCACCATTGGGGTATGGGTCAAAAATTAGTCACCCGGGGACCGCAGAAATTTCTCCTGGACTCCATTTACCAGGGCAACCCATTTCGGGGTTGCCCTCGTCTTGACCACCACACCCAAACCCGGAGGCCGATCTTCGGCGAGGCGCGTTGGGCCACCCGAAGTCCGAGATGTGGGTGTTCTGCAGCTTGCCCAAGGCCGCACTGGAGGCCAGCAACCAATCGTTGAAGGTCGTGCCCCCGGATTTCTCGTCCCACAAAAACCTGCCGGACGGAGTCGTGATTTGGCCAGTTTAGGCCTCGGGCCTGAAAACTGACCCTGAGATGGTTGAGAAAGTTATAGTGGAAACGCGTTCCTGAAGAACAAGTCAGTATGCTTATGCATGCGAACGTACCATGGTGGTTTTGATGATGCCTGCAAAATGGCTGAAGATGACACCCAAGGCCGTGGTCAAGGCGCAAAACCGCCACCGGAAAACTAATTCGGTTTTGATAGAATTCGGGCCTTCTTTGATTGACGTGGACACTTCACTGGGCAAAGCTACTGATACACGTGCGGGCGCTTGGTCGCCCGCAAACGGCTTTGGTCTGGGGATCTGGGCATGACATGACAAGTCACAAGTTAGCGTCGCCATGGCAGCGAGGCTCCAGTGGACAGAGGGTGGGAGACAGGGGTGGGCCTGGTGCATATTTTCTGGTTCAGTGCGCGGGTTCACAGAGTTATCCCCAGACCCCTCCCGAAGGAGTTCGGACCTGTTGTTGAAGGGAATCGGCCGACAAGGCTCCTGAGATGTGCCCTTTGTACAACACCCCACCAAAGGGAGACTCATTCACAAATGGCCAAAAGGGTCATGTTTAAGTCATCCAAAAGGGGAGATATTAGACCCCTTGTTTTTCGCCAGCTTTTGCCCACCTATTTCATGATATTTAGTGAAGCTTGAAATGCACAGTAACTTCAGGGGGAACCCAAAGAACAAGCAAAAGCAAACACATGGCAAACCCGGAATCACGTACTTCAAGCCGCTTTGTAATTCTCCATTGGTACTTATTCCCGCTCTCGAATCTGAGTGGTACAAAAAAAAATGAGTCATAATCATGATCGTTGGGATACTCAGTAGGGAATGAGGGAACGAACCTGGGGATTCCCGTAAAGGAAATTTAATGGCGTGGCCCCCTACAAGGGCGGCTCCCGCTCTCCGAGGCACACAAAAGGCCTTTCCCGGGACGGCTCCGGCAGTACCAAGCCATCATGCCCGAAGCAAAGGTCATCGTGCACCTCCGAAAGCTCAAGCTCATCCACGCAGCACCTAAGTCGATGGCGGCACATGTGGGTCTGGGTCAAAAATAGGTACCCAAATCGAACCCTGGTACATGGAAACATGGACCAAAACCTGCGGTCCCCTAGTGGCTTAATTTTGACCCACACCCATGTCTAAGGGTTGATCACCAGTCTGTGCACCTATTGTTCTCTTGGGAACCACTCCGATTTCCATGGATTTTCAGACATTTCCTAAGCAGGACCCCTGGAAAGATTGGGGAAGCGCTTCATAGAGGGGCGGGACAAAACAACAAAGAACCATCCTTTGTTGGTGCCTTTTGCGGGAAAAGAAAAACAAGTCTATTCAGCAGCAGCTCGTTGGAATCTCCCGGAAAATGGATAGGTACGCGTTGGTTGGTACGACCCCAACGGATTCCTAGCAGGGCAGCAGTCCATTGTGGAACTGGCTTGTTGCAGAGACAATGGTTTTGTCTTGATAGCACTAAGGGGACCAAGCGTACACGTGTCAACCTGGCCAATCCGGAAAGGGACGCGGAATTTGATGTTGGACACCTCCATGGATGAAATATCCCGGCTTTGAGTTCACAAATGCCCCAGCTATGAATAAGATGGGTCGCGCTGGCAGACAGGGACTCCTTAAAAGTCATGATAATAGTAACCATGTGTGGAGTCATTAATCAGCAAGCACGTCTTACATGCTACTTTTAAAGCCACTCCCGATTCTTGTTTCTGCTGGATCCACAGCGGCTGCCGCCTTCAAAATCGGGTGACGGGTCAGATCAAATTGTCCTCACTGCCAATGTCCCTTTTTCCTACAAACATGGAAGTAGATGGGGGACTTTTGCAAGAGGATGCTAGTCCTTCAAAGCCCTCCTTTTTACTTCCATGCAACATATTTGAATGTTGGATGGCAGCACAAAGGTGCCTCGCTCTTACCTCCTGAGGCATCCATCATCATCCAGTCTCGTGCCAAACCAAACACGATGCACCTCCGAAACCAAACAAAAATACCGTACCCCATCACAGCTCCTCCCCCCTCTCAGAAACATGGCAAAAGCACCCCATCACAACTCATCCCCCCTCTCAATCCCCCTCAACCCTCCCCTGGCCTCTGATAGTTCCAGAAGTCGTCCCAGCACTCCGCGCGGCTTTCCGACTCGTCCGCGCAGCACCAGTCCCTGGGACCCCGGCGCCAGCAGTCCGGGTGAGCCTCTGCGAAGCGGAAGGAACCGCGCCCGCGCCCGGCGCCAGCCAGCGGCAGCCCTGCTGGCAGCAGGGCCCAGAGGGACAGCGCCATGGCATGGAACGGGGGACATGGCTGTGGGTCAAAAATGGTACCCAAAATGGAACCCGATTGGTAAATGGAACCCATGACTAAAACCTGCGGTCCCCTGGTGGTTTAATGTTGCCCCACACTCACATGGCTCAAAGTGCGGTTGAGCTTGCTGGTGCTCAGTAGGGAATGAGGCAATGAACCCAGGGATACCCGAAAACAGGAAACCACCAGTTGGATGGTTCGTCTTGGGGTCATTCCAATTCTCATTCCCTGCTTATAGCACAAGCAAGTAAGGTCTAGCACTTGTGCTCACGGCGGCTTCCAATGTCATGTTTGCCGAATCTTTGGTTCGGCATCATTCGGGAGATCGTGCTTCGTGCTGCGCGCGTGAAGTCAGGAAGTCGGGCGCAACTAACGTGAACTGCGCAGGTCAGCGTGTCTTGCCAGGGGGACACATGTCATGTGTCCTTTATGTTAGGACGCCGTCAAAGGGGGGCCATCTAATCTTTGGGGATCCCACCACATTGGAATGACCGATGAGAAAAAACTGCGGCACTGCGGGCTGATGCACAGCAGGCTCAATCGAAAACCAGCTAGACAAGGAACATCGTGAGGGCAACATGGCCAGCCACATGCGCAGAAGTCGACTGCAAATCCACCTTCTGTCCATTGTAGTGACAACACATGAACATCTTAGTGGAGCATCATAGTAAGGCAAAACTCCGGCTTTTCGAACATGCACCATGTCTACATTTCACAAAGCAGGCAAGCAATTTGTGAAACACACACGACAGCCTCGACACCTGGCTTGTTAGACTGCTGACAAAACCGCGTGCAGTATCAGACTTGAAGATGCGCGGAAGGAACAAAGATTGCTCTGGTAAATGATTATTACCCTCCCATCAACAAGTGCACAGGCTCCCCTTCCGAAAGAAACATCGTCTTCCAGAACACCTTTGGACCTTGCGCCATCCATGTGGAACCAACTACCCATGCATTGTCAGACGGCGGAAACAAATTTCAAACCTCGGCTGGGCCTGTCGCCGAAGCTGAGAATCATATGCGGCAAACAGGGCCGCATGAATGAGTCTGAGACAAATCGGGTTTGTCAGTGTACAGTATTTCGTCCAGGCTAAACACAAACATGGATCCTTACATTATACACCTGAACTTGCCTTGTAAATGGTGGTTTCCTTTTATGTTGGTGGAAAAAACCATGTTTCAAATTGGCAAAATGTAAACAAGCTCCCTTACCCTCACTCATGGGAGTCCTTTTGGGGTTTGGGATATTGATAGCACTTTGCAAATGAGTTGAACTGGCCTGGAACCAGTAGAATCGATCAACCTCCAACCAAACACACCTGAAAAGACACCTATGCCCAAAGCCCCCCCCTTCTGGGGAGAAGAACATACAACATCTACCAACGCAGAACACAACGCCGTCCTTGGGCTTCGGACAAGTTAGTCGGTGGTTTGCAAACTAGCGTACGTCCCACTTACAGCAGGCTGCTTCCCTTGTGGTGGGCTTACACATCGTGTATATATATATATATACGGGTATGTATTTGTTTGGGGTGCCCGCGCCGGGAAGTTGGTATAGGGGGTATGAATTGCAGGTATGGTTCGGGGTATGATTCGAAGGTATGGTTCGGGGTATGGTTCGCGCGACTCTGAAGTCTTATTTTGTAGCCTTGGGCACCCCCATCACTCTACCACTACCACCCCACCTCTCCCACCTTCTCAGCTCACCTCGTCTCCCAGCCCGGGGCCCAGCCTCCAGGCGCCCCAACGCGTTCAGCGCCTCCACCCGCACTGCGGGCTCCGCATCCTTCAGCGCCGCCGCCAAGGAGCCGGCCGAGCGCTTGCAGTTCCCCAGGCGCCCCAGGGCCGCAGCCGCGCACTTCCGAACCTCGCGGAGCTCGGATCTTCGGAACATCCGACCGAGGTGAGGTATACCCGAAATAACATGGGGTTTGTTGTGCACATTAAAGCCCCTGAACCAAGAGGAAAGTATAGTTTTTGAGGGGTCTATGTTAGTTAGTTGGTGAGAGGCTAGAACGTTTTCGCGTTTTGAATGAGACAATGAAACCATTCCCTGTTGCCATTCTTTTGGAGTGCGTCCTTGGAAGCGTTTCGTTGGGTGTCCAGTTTTCCCGACACAAAACAGTCAGGGATCGATTTTGAGGGCCCAGACCCACCACTGCGCCAAGGTGAGCTTGCAATCAATCAGGCAAACTAGCCTGGCTCCTGTGGGTTCAGCCTGCGCCCACCAAAACGAAAATGGAAAACGGGTGGAACTCACCGAACACGTGGGGCATCCATAAGGACCCATCCAACAATTTGTGCCGAACCAGGGATCGAGTAGGCCGCGAATCGAATCCAATCAAAAGGACCGACCAGAAAGAACCTCGCATGGACCAAAGGGCTCACGGCCTAAAAGTTTTCACTTTCCCTCACCGACGCCCGGAGGCTGCGAACCAATAGCTGGCCGGTAAATGGGGCATAGACCCCATCCACGGCCACCGTGTCACACGACTATTTCGCAATCGTGCCCACGACTAGCTTTATCGACTCTGCAAATAATACTATTATTAAAACTAATAATAATAATGATATTAATAAAAACATTAATATTACTAATATATAAAGATAACAATGTTAATAATAAGAATGTTAATAATAAGATAATACAAATATGAATAAAACTAATATTAATATTAATAATAGTAGTAAAACCATAAAAATACTAATAATAATAACATTATCCTTAAAAATACAGTAATAAAAAAATAACAAAAATAAAATAATAATCATATTCATCATTGTAATAATGTAAATATCCTGATACTAACAATATTAATACCAACAATAAGATTAATACATTAATAATAGTATTATTATTATTACTATTAAAATATGAATGATAATAATACTAGGAATCATACTCATAATAGTCATAATAATAATATTAATAATGAAAAATAATAATAGTAATAACAATACTTTTAATAGTAATTATAATACTAATAAGGATAATATTGATGAACTATTAATAATATAATACTACTTTAAAATTAATAATAACACTAATAGTGGTGAACATGATAAGTAAGATAAACTGTATTAAACATATTAATAATATTATCAATATCAATAGAATTAATAACATTAATAATACTAATAATAATATTAAGACTAATAATGCAAAATGACACCAATAATATTAATACTACTTATATTAATATTAATGATACGAATAATACTAATAATATTACTATACTAATCATATTTATTTATATTAAGAATAATAATAAAATATGAACAATCATAATATTAATCGTATAAATAATAATCTTAATAATATGAATATGATTAATAATCTTAGTAATTGTAGTATTAATTATTTTCATAAAATATAATATAATAATACAAATCAAGCAATAGAAATACATATTATGATATGAATGATAATAATGTTAATGTGCGTCTTGGTCCGCTTGCGCGCCTGGCGGCTTGTTCACGCACCGGCTAACAAGTCCTAGTTGCCCAGTGGCGCCCTCTAAAGAGATAAACTGAACCAGTTGGCCTAGATATAGCACAAACCACATACCAACTGGCATTCTGTCCACCCACTGTATCAACAGCGACCTTCTCCAGATGCGTCACAATTTCCAACTGTGAGAGCCGAGCTCTCAAGAAGTTGAATGTGCGCCTTCCTCCGTTTGCTTCAGTCCCTGGGAAAAAGTCCAGGAGCCAGCCTTTAAACCCAACAAGGCAAAAGCCAAACATATTCTTAAGCAAACTGCAGGCTGGTCCTGTTATTCGCCTTTCGGGCCAAAAGAATCTTGTGCCTGCTGTGCCTGCACAAGTGCGCGGTTGATTTTTCGTGTGTTTTAATTGTTTTTTTGACAAACTCCAGGGAGCGGCTCTCAGGCCCGCCGCCCTCGGTAGACGCGCCTCCCGTGGCTGCCGCCCCCGAATGATCTTCACGGGACCAAGAAAAGGCATGCCAGTTTGCGCCAGCCAAAGTCGCCAAGCCCTGCTGAGAAAGAGTTAGCTTCTTTGGGGAAGGTTACTCGCTGCAGAAGTGCCTCAGAGAGTTTGTGAGGGAGCGCTCGTGAACCCTGCGACTAATGGGCGTCTGCTGCGTGTGCCGCAGGCAGCGCTCGTTTTCAGAAGCAACGGCTCCAGCCCAGGCGCTACTAGTCTAGGTTAGCAGGCTGGGCTACAAGCGCAACCACGCCCAGACAAAAGAAGAAAAGCCATCAGCCAAACAGTCTCTTAGCCACAAGTTTTCTCTTGTCCGTCTCTCTGATTTTGGGCGCTCCAATGTAGGCCCCTCACATGGTATCATGCAGCACTGAGCACTGAGGTGATGCACGAGGCGGTGAAAAACCACGGTGAAGCTTTTCGGTGAATTTCTTTCGTTCTTCAAACCTGTGCCTCGGACAGAACTTCGCCTCTGCTCAGCCCCCGTATGAACTTCACGTCTGAACATGAGGGCCTGGGCGGCCCTCTTGAAAGCTGAAAAGGCCCTCTTTTTGGGTCATTGGTGGGGGCGCCCGGCAATCTCCTAGCTCATGCCTGAAGCAGGGATCCCTTCCTGGGAGTGTGAAAAAGCTTCCTGAACTCAGCAGGTGAGGTGTCTATGGCTGAGCTAAATCCGCTGCCACAAAAGTAGTTCTTTCAGCGTCTCTTTGTGCGTTGGGCAAGGTGAGGAGGCGGTTGTCCTCTAGTTGAATTAGGTAAACCAATTCGTTTGATAAAGGAGAGCAAACCTCCTCAGGACTGCTCTTCAGCTATGCTTTTTCCGTGCACCAAACACGCTGCTCCGGCGCAGCGCCCCATTGAAGAAGGCCTGGCGCAGGCCAAGGAAAAACAGGATCGTTGGAGAAGCTCTCGCAGTCAAACCGTTGCTGGGTGACTTTAGAAGCAGCTCAGTTAACCGTCGCACATCGAGCGAAAGAAAGCATCCGAAAATCTTCCGACAGAGTTATCAGGGCGCCCGTGAAGGGAGCGCG